TACCATTAACCTCCCTCTGCAGTTTTTGTGCTGATATTAAGGCCAGTGGAAGTTTGGTACTCTGCAGCTGTGAAATCAGCAGAGCACTGGAAACTTTTACGCACCATGTGCCTCAGTACTTGGTGACCCTGCTCTGTGACTTGGTTATCTCCACTTAATGACTGAGTTGCTGCTGTTCCTAAACGCTTCCACTTTCCAATAATGCCACTTACAGCTGACCACAGAATGTCTAACAGGGATGAAATTCTATAAACTGACTTATATCAAAGGTGGCATACTATCATCGTACTACGCTTGAATTCACTAAGCTCTTCAGAACAACCCATTTTTTTCACAAATGTTTGTATATGCAAACTGCAAAAATAGGATCTAGGAATATGCTATAGCATAATACCTAAAGGCAAAATCGTTTAATCTAGTGCAGCTATTGTGTATAAGTTGCTGTAGCCCCAACAGCAAGCAAAATATAGCAATCCAAAGTATTCATCCATAAAGCACAGCATAGTTATAGGTACAAGTGCAGCCCAAATGTATTCAAAGAGCATCCACGGTACAGACATGAGTGCAGACTGCATGGCTAGCTTCTTGAGTTTATACATCTGTGGCAATGGATCTGATTAAAACAACTGAATTCAATAATTAAGAGGTGTGCCCCAATACCATTGACCATATAGTGTTTGTATGCATTGCATTTAATGCATATAATATAACTAGGATACCAATGGAACAGTCATGGGAGGGCTTAATAAAACACAAAATAATGATGACTTTAGACAGGCAATATGTTTTATCTAATATTTGTCTAGCTATTCAGATTGGACTTGTGATATGAATGTTTACTTGTTTAACCAGAACATAAGCTAGTGGTTTCTTTTTGGTTCCAACATTGTTTATTTCATGCATATTTATTTGTATTTATGATGCAGGAGACAGAGGCCGATTCATCTAAGCTTTGACATTGATGCTTTTGACCCAATGTTGGCTCCATCTACAGGAACCCCAGTCCTAGGAGGACTAACCTACAGAGAAGGTGTCTACATCACTGAGGAAATACACAACACAGGTAAGTTAATGATCCTTAATTGCTCACAAAAGCGTAAGGGCATCCTGGGAACTGACATCATTGTGAGGCAGTGAGTGTGGGTATTTCAGTGGCACATTGCACAATAGTCCTTATGCAGCAGTGGGAAACGTGGAAATCGCCTTCACTCTCCTACTATAGCAAGAAGATGTCATTCCCATGTGTTTCCAGTGCACTCAAACCCTAGTTATCTGCCAGAATGTTGAATAAATATACTCAATGATATTTCTCACAACTGTGGATCTACAACAAAATTCACTTGTTTGCTCATTCCTACCAGCATTACAGAATACTAAGGCAAAGCCTTATATATTTGTTATAAACAGACCTGCATTGATTATCTCATACAAAACCTTAGAATGGGTAGGAACACTGCACACAAACTCCTAGAATTACAAGATAAAAAGGAAACCAGTCTCCTTACGTTCAACTGTTTTAATGACCCCTATTTGCTGTCCCTGGGCAATCTAACTTGTATATGTTGTATGCTCTTTTATTCTTCTTAAATAATGATTTAACACATGGAAGCTAGTTGTTAAAAATATTTTCCATATGACAATTTTAATCACGAGTCTGCCAACATGCTTTAATAAGTAGAACAAAAAACCAAGTTACCTGTGCTCTATCCCAAATACCCATTCACATTTAAATATCTGGAGTATTTTTTTAATGTTGCTCCAATGGCCATTTAAGTATAAGCTTTAATAAGTACTTATTGCCCATTTTTTTCCAGGTATGCTGTCAGGTATGGATCTTGTAGAAGTCAATCCGTTACTAGGTGCTACCTCTGACGAAGTCAAAGCAACTGCAAATCTTGCTGTAGATGTGATCGCTTCATGTCTTGGGGATACAAGAGACGGTGCTCACATGATTATAGATGATCTGCCTACACCTAGTACAACGTACGAATCAGACAATGAAGAACAAGTGAGAATTTAGCTTCAGTCAACGTGACACTCCTTGTTCATTCCAGGACTCTGATTCAGCACTGAAGGGTGGACCTAATTTGACAGAGAATGCTCTGTTTTGCAATTTGTTTTTTGACCAATGACTGTCTATAATGCGAACTCGAACTGCAAATAGCAGATTAACTTTGGACTATCTTGTAAACTGTGGGATATTAGAATGGCTGACCCTATACCATTTTAAACTGTATGAATTTTACTGTTTGGGATTATTTTAACCAATGGTTGGCCTTGATAGTCCTGTGTGCTGTGGCATCTGATGGCATCTTAAATGGAGGTAGCCACACTGTGTAATGTTTTACCAAGTCGTGGAAGACCTATTGTTTGCATGACTTGAGTTGTCATGGACTACAGAAGTGGAGGCTAAATTGTCCTCCAGACATTTACTTTTTTTGTAACTGGATCCTACTAAAGTCTATCAGGTAACTCTATATTTAGAGCCTGGTTTCCATATTAGACATATTGTATATTGGTTTAAGCGCTGAATTTCTTATTTGAGGGCATAACCTAGCTATCATTGTCAAGTCTGCAGACTTGCTGCCAACTTTATAGGTTTAAGTATGGCTAGCATGCTATGTGAACATTTCACAATTTGATATATTTATATATATTTGCATAATTAATTTAATAGCTAATCATTGCCCAACATAAACATGGTATATACCCATCAATGAAACACTGGCTCTACATCTGGCAAAAAAAAAAACCATATGAAATCTTAAACATTGTGTGTAGGGTTGTGGAAATCTTCAAACTTTATGCTAGGTTATGTTTATGCAGTGTTTTTGATTTATTTTATTCATTTTAATTTCCTATCTTATATTGGGGAAGATTTATTTATCAAGACAAAAACAGTTTCTATTATGGGGCTAATTAAAGAGCTCACTAAGGGGCAATCACCATCTTAAGTAATACAATGTACAATTTAGCACTTTGAATCCAGAATACCACCTGTTTTTCCTTGATATAGCACCAACATTGTCTCTTCCAATAGGTCACAACTAACTCACTGAATAGATGTCAAACTTTAAGTGTTTGTTTTGTGTTTTTTTTATTCCGCACCGATATTGTTACATTAGATAATATTGTGCAGAAAGTTTCTATTTTTTATAATTTAAAACTGGATCCTAATTTGATTAATTACTTTCTTTTAGCAGGCCTCTTGTGAGATGTTATTTCTAGCATTAATAACTTCTTAGAATAATATCTTTTTTTTAACAGCATGAAAATAGATGATAAATTACCATTTTAATTGACAATTTAACAATTAACAAAAGATTTAAACATCTGTTTAAATATGCATAAACGCCAATAAAATTGGATTTTTTTTCAATGTTCCTTTCTCTGACATGTATTTTTCTGGTTGTCCACATTTCACTAGTAACATGCTAAAATCTGTCTGTGAGTATTTGTTTTGAAATTCTATTTCTCAACATTTAATTTTCACTAGTGTATCACATGGTTGACCCTAATGCTAAATGTCCTATAGATGTGTCTGAAATGCCTCAAAGGGATACACATGCAACTATATATGGAGGTAAAAGAAAACCTTTATAAGCACTTTATGATTAAGAAGTGTTGAGGTTTACTTATGGAATAAAATTTTAAAAATCTTTATAAAGAATCTTTACATCAGTATATAAGAATTGCCTAAAATCTGCTCTGACATAGGCCTCAATATTTTGTAAATAATCTGTTCAAATGATTTAATATTTTTGATTTAAAAAAAATAATAATATTAATATACTTTTTTATATAGGATATATATATTTGATACTTTAAAGGGACACTATAGGCACCCAGACCACTGCAGCTCATTCAAGTGATCTGGGTGCAGTGTCTGTTTAACCCTGCAATTGTAATTATTGCAGTTATTGAGAAACTGCAATAATTAATTTGCAGGGTTAACTTCATTTCTAGTGGCTATCTACCAGACATAATAGAGGCGCTTCTGGATCGTCTTTTGGTTGGCTGACAAGGAAGTTTCCTGGTGGCTGTTTCAGTTTTGGTCAGTTTGACAGTCCTGACAGTGTATCACGGTGTCGTACCAAACTTACAGGAAATGGCAAATCCCACAAACAGAGTTCCTAAATAGATGTGTTACCAGGCCTTAGAGCAAGATAAAGACAAGGTCATTAATAGCCAAGGTCAGGATTGTAGAAATAAGGATAAATGAGCCAGGTCATGATACCAGAAATACACAAAGTCAAATACAAGCCAAGATCAATATCAGAATATCAAGAGTGACTTACTATAAGTACTGAACAAGGCAGAAACCATGATAGGGAATTGAAAAGGGGCCCATATTAGCATTATATAGGCTAACACATGTTCTTATCCACGTCATTTCTGTGATTCCAAAATATTTAATAATGGAATTGCCTAGATACTATGGTCACTTTAAGGGGCAACATGATGTCACAACATTTAAGCATATTAGGACGCACCATTCAAGTGGGCAGTGTCTAAGGGAATACAGGTAAGCAGTGCTGTTCTTATTTTGCTCTCCTGTCAATTAGTGATCTCCCCTCCCCTCCCCTCCTGTCCCTTAGTGCGCTCTCCTGTCCCTTAGTGCTCTTCCTTGGCCCCCTGTCCCTTAGTGATATTCCCTCCCCTCCAGTCCATAAGTGCTCTCCCCATCCGTCCTGTCCCTTAGTGATCTCCCCTGTTCCTTAGTGATCTCCCCTACCCCTCTGACCCTTAGTGCTCTCTCCTCCCCTCCCTTAGAGCTGCTCCCTCCATCCTTATAGCTCTCCCCTGCCCATGTCCTTACTGGTCTCGTCCCTGTTCATCAGTGTTCCTCTCCCCTCCCTGTCCCTTAGTGGTCTCCCCCCCCTCTTAGTGGTCCTCTCCAGTCCCCCCTTGGTGGTCCTCTCACTCCCCCCTCTCCCCCTTTAGTGGTCCTCCCTCTTCCCCTCTCTTAGTGGTCCTCTTTCTCCCCAACCTCTTGCGGTTCTCCCTCCTCCCCACCTCCTAGTTGTCCCCCTTTGGTGGTCCTCTCACTCCCCTTGGTGGTCCTCCATCCCCTTGGTGGTCCTCCATCCCAGCGGTGGTCCTCCCATCCCCTTGGTGGTCCTCTCCCCTCTTAATGGTCCTCTCCCCTCTTGTGGTCTCTCCCCTCTTGGTGGTCCTCTCCCCCTCTTAGTGGTCCTCTCCCTCTTAGTGGTCCTCCCCCAACCCCTTAGTAGTCATGCTTCTCTCCCCCTCTAGTGGACCTCTTCAGTTCCCTCGCCCCCCCTTAGTGGTCCTCTCCAGTCCCCCCTCTCTCCCCTTGGTGGTCCTCCCTCACTGTTGTGCCTCTTACCTATGTAGCACGGCCGGGCGCCGCGGACCGCAGTACAGGAACTTCTGTTTCCTGTACCCGGCCGCCAGCAGACTGACAGGAAGTGCTCACTGAGTACTTCCTGTCAGTCTGCTGGCGGCCAGGTACAGGAAACAGAAGCTCCTCAACCGCGGTCCGGGCCGGACGGCCATGCTACATTGAGTGAATGGCAGGAAGGAGCGCTGTGCGCTTCCCTCCTGCCAGGTCACTCAAAGATGGCGCGCCCCCAACCAGTGTGCCCTAGGCAACTGTCTAAGTCGCCTATAGGATGCGCTGGCCCTGTGTGCAGTGAGTTACTGATTGCAGATATAATGGTGCAGATTTATATGTTTAATTTAATGTTTCATACATGTCCATATTTGTTAATTATAGAGATAAGCAAACTTTGTATTAAACATATTGGCTAGTGATTGTTTCCCTTTAATGCTAATTAAAGGTCAATGTGAGTGCTTTTCTACTTTGGTGGGAGGAGGGCATTCAAACTAAGGGGTGCTTTTTTATGTTTTAAAGGTTTCCCTGCACTACCTGTATTTTGTATTGCAGATACAGCATGTTATCATGTGACTGACTCTAAATAGGGAGTATTGAAGGGACATTATAGGAACCAAAACAACATTAACTTAAAGGGACACTCCAGGCACCCAGACCACTTCTGCCCATTGGAGTGGTCTGGGTGCCAACTCCCACTACCCTTAACCATGCAACTGTAATTATTGCAGTTACTACCCTTAACCCTGCAACTGTAATTATTGCAATTTTCAGAAACTGCAATAATTACCTTGCAGGGTTAAGTCCTCCCCTAGTGGCTGTCTACTAGACAGCAACTAGAGGGCACTAACGGGATCATAGCACAGATTATATAGCGTCACTAAAATCCCCGTAGGAAAGCATTGAAAAGCATTTTCAATGTTTTCCTATGGAGAGGTCTAATGCGCATGCGCATTAGGTCTCCCCAAGTGACAGGCAGGATCAGTGTCCCCTGCCGGCTGACGTAATGAAGGGGGGGAGCGGCGGCGGAGGAAGAAGCAGCGACGTGGGACATGTTGCTGCCTCTGGTAAGTCACTGAAGGGGTTTTCACCCCGTCAGCAACTGGGGATGGGAGGTGGGAGGGAGAGGGGACCTGCAGTGTCAGGAAAACGGATTGTTTTCCTGGCACTGGAGAGTCCCTTTAACCAATTTTTGTGTGTTGCATTTGACTTATACAGCCTTCCTAACACTTTCTGTAAAGAGATTCCCTCCTACCACCCATCCCATGTTGCTGAAGGGGTTAAAACCTCTTCAGTGACTTACCTGAATCCAGCGCCAAGGGATAGCCAATAGGCAGACAAATCTGCATTCTTAACACTTTAGTGCCCTCTAGTTCCCCCTTCCTCTTGCCCCCAGCAAATAAAGGTTTAAAAAACACCTTTATGTACTCTAATGATTCCTTTGCCGATGTCCCTCGGTGGTGGATCGTGCTCGGAGTTCGGGAGCCGGGAAGGGACGGCCACTCTCCTGGGTCTCCTGGCCGGCGGTTTGCGTCCGCCCCCCCCCCGGGGGTCATCCCGGTCTGCAGAGGTACCAACCAGCACACCAACCTTGGCCCAATCAACCACCCTAGCAGGGAACATCACCCGGGCGACAATACACAAGATGGCCGCCGAGCGCTGGCCATGTGTGCGAGCTGCCAGAAAGGTCGAGATGGCGCTTGCTCAAAAGTGAGGAAAACAACACAGCCAAAGAGAAAAGCACCCACTCTTATCCTACCAGCCTACTACAGGGCAGTAAAGCTTATGGACACTGCAAGTAGGATCAAGTTGCACTCTCATGGAAGTGCCGGCAGCAGAACTCGCCTAGACAGCACTGACCATCCAAGGAGACATGACAGAGTGAGGCGGGGAGGTCCACAGTTCCACGGACCGGAAAATCTTGGGGACCCACTAATGCTGAACGCCCTGCTGCAGCCCATCGGTACTGTGACAACTGGATAAAGTGGCTCCTGCTAACACACAGCAAGATCATCTCCAGCAATGTAAAGACTCTTTTGTTATTCTCAATGTCAGCGTTACTCCCCTTCCACGATTACAGAACCCAGAGGTGTTAATAGATCTGTGTCCCGATAACAACTCCTAGCTAGCAAACACCTTGACTAATTAGCTCTGTTGGCCAGACGTGTCCCCTAGCACTGTTTTGTCTACCCATGCTATTGTATGACAAGCATTTAACTCATTGTGTTCACTTAGTCACCTGTGTAACATGCTAGGAAAGCAAGCCCAGGTGTACACATATATACCTGCATATAAACAGACTTACACCTGAACATCACTTATGATACATACTAAGCATGGACAGCTCATATCTCACACTCACTGCGCCCACTAGCTAAACATGCCTAATTAACCTGTTCATTAACGTTGAAACTCTGCTCTTCATGCGTCATTACTAGTCTAGTCTCGAACTACTTAAACTTGTGAAATGTACTTTGTCAATCTATACCATATTCAAAATGTGCACTGTCCAATCACTCCTCACTGTATCTATTGTTGTTGAAATTAGCGAGTGGACTGCCGGTGGGGTACCACAAGCATAACTGTTCCAACTGTATGCACTACAAAAATAAAAAAATTTAAAAAAAATTTAAAAAAAATATTATCAAAGGGGGAGATTTAACAATAAATAAGACAATTACAAAAACTTATAGGAACAATAGGTTGAAGAGGGCACTGCTCAAATGAACTTACAGTCTATACGAGGTGGGGTGTAGACACGTATAGCCACACATATACATATGCGCATACACAAATGTACAAATGTGCATAAACAAATACATACATTTAGAAATGCAGCTAATGCAATGACACTGTCACTGAGGCTCTGATTCCTGCATGACAATTCATTAAATGCCCCCTTTTCCCTGTGTGTGTAGAAAGCTTAACAAATGGTGGCCCTGGCATTGTTTTAACGAGTTGGATACAGCCATTTTGGGACATTTTGGATGACTCCTTGTAGAGCCCCTGCTGCCAGCGCCCCCCCTCCGACTGCCACTATGAGACTTTCTCAAAAATTAGAGTCAGCTCAGAGTGCTCTAAGAACCGTGTAAATTGCAGTAATGAAAAGTACTTTTGGTGCTTACACTGACCATTAAATATATTTTCAAAGGGCTGTGCCATTTTTTTGTTTTT